GTCACTCTCGATACAAACAGGAAGTAGACACAGATCCTGATGCTGGTTCTGCAGGACATTTCTTCTTGTTAAATGGCACTTTTTCCTTCCCACTGTTGCCAAGTGCTTGCTCTGATCGTCAGAGTCTCTTTCCTACAACAATCAGCACCTTGAGGTGTCTGTTGTTGTAAACTGGGCCTTTATATCTGCAATTTAGTTGCACTGTTTGTAATATTTAAGTTTGAGCCAATAATCGTCGTTGCTCGAGTCCACGCACCCTTCAGAGGTAACTCAAGAGCATGATGGGATATATTGTCAAAGAAAATCCACGAACTGTGACTGAACACTTTAGTTTTATACTGTTTCACGTTCTTCAGGTGTCGTGACGGAAAAAAGGCACAAAAATTAAACATGACAAACGTTCCCGAGGAGCTCCTCGCCTGGTCTCCACATTTACATGAAGATCTATGAAATAAACGCACCTGTGTGTGTGTGTGTGTGTGTGTGTGTGTGTGTGTGTGTGTGTGTGTGTCAGCCTCCTGCAGGTGCCCCGACGTCACCTGTCAAAGTCAAGAGGAACTCTGGTCTAATTGAGAAAATCCAGGTGAGTCCAGCAGGTTTCTGCTGCCCCCTGCTGGTGTAAACATGCACCGACATCACTCTGACATCGTTCTGACATCGCTCTGACATCACTCTGACATCACTCTGACATCACTCTGACATCGTTCTGACATCGCTCTGACATCACTCTGACATCACTCTGACATCACTCTGACATCCTTCTGACATCCTTCTGACATCGCTCTGCAGGCTGAACTCGTGCTCTCGCCCACGGGTCCTCCTATGAAGAGCCCTGGCATCAGGATGCTGCCTCTCAACTTCCCCCTGCCCTCCCCTGGCTCCGCCCCACCTGCTACCTCAGTAACCACCTCGTCCTCAGCAACCCCCACCAGCCCAGTCACCTCTCCTGTAACTGAAACGGAAGGCCCCGCCTCTTTTGAGGAACCTGCCACTGTGGCGGAGGGATCGGTCCTGCAGAGCATCAACAAGGTGAGACCCCTCCAAGGCGTTCATGTGATGCATTCAGTGACCTGTAAATACCTGCGCCGGCCAGCCTAAACACTCAGTTGATCACCCTTTGGTTCTCCTCCAGGGCAGAGCTCGCCACTCCATCCGCCGCCGTCCGCCATCACGCCGCCACAGGACATCCAGCAGTGGAGAGGTGGAGGCCAAAGATGCATCAGACACACAGGTGAGCTCCACGACTGACCCCGCTGACAAAACTGCAGCAGGCGGCGAGCAGGACGGCGAGCAGGGCAGTGAGGGTGACGTGTTCAAGAAGGAGGATCAAACAGACGCCCCAACAGCTCCTGAGAAAAACCAAACTCACGAAGAGGAAGAGCCAAATAGCGGCGACGGTGATGTGCAGGAGAGAGAGAAAGGGTCTGCAGAAGAAGAGGAGGAGGAGGCACCATCATCATCAGAGAAGAAGGAGGAGGAGCCGAGGTCGCCAGAGACGCAGAAACAGGACCCGACCGAAGACGCTACACTGACAGACAGCAAAGAAGAAGAACAGAGCGAGGTAAAGTACTTGTTCTCCTTCCAGAGTGACATCAGTGCAGTACTCTGTGTACTTTGTGTACATGTACTGAAAAACTGCAACGTTTCCCGCAGGAAGCAACGAGCTCAGCCCGATGAGGACCACGCGTCGACGAGCCCCTGGAGTGCTGGGAGAGAAACCCCGTATCAGCTACACCTGACTGAAGAGGCCTGCAGACGCTCAGGAGGCGAATATTTAGAAACTCTGAGGCGCTGCCCGCCATCTGCGAATGAGCGAAGATGCTCGGCCAATCGTGCGAAGGTCCAGTCGAGCTTGTTCGTTTCCACTCAACGCCTTTCCACACCACAACACTGCATTCTTCCTGTTCAGCCATATATACTGTGACCTGTCTGTTCTTACTGTGTGCTGCCTTCCATGATGATGATGATGATGATGAGTGGTTTGTGTCTGTGTTTAAAGCCACAGCTGTGAGGGAACCCTCGAAGCCTCGTTAGGTTTGACTGATTTCTGGGAACCTCCGAGGTTTTGATTGGATGGTGACACGCAGCCTGAGGAGGCGGTGACGTCACAAAGTGCTTCTGATGATGAAATTAAAATACTTTTGCTACCATAATGATGATCTGCTCTGTTGTATTTTATCTGGCAGTGCTCAAAGAAATAAAGAGTTGCTAATGACTTCTGATTTTTCCGTGTCACAGCTGCAGCGCGATGACGAAGCTACCTGTCAGTCAAACAGGACACGCCCCTGATAATGCAAACTTATCAGGGGCGTTAAACACATGAAGGTGGATGTCAGCTGTACAAGTCTGGCCCACTGGGCTCTGGTGAAGTACAGAGTAGAAATTTGAGACTTTTAACTGTATTTTAAAAAGTTTTATCTTTACAAATAAAGACTCATCGTAGTCTCCAAATTAACAATATGGTAAATGGCCTGTATTTGTATAGCGCTTTACATATCCAGTCATCCACACACTGGTGATGGCAGCTACATCGTAGCCACACCCACCCTGGGGCGCACTGACAGAGGCGAGGCTGCCGGACACTGGCGCCACAGGGCCCTCTGACCACCACCAGTAGGCAACGGGTGAAGTGTCTTGGCCAAGGACACAACGACCGAGACTGTCGGAGCCGGGGCTCGAACCGGCAACCTTCTGATTACAAGACAAACTCCCAACTCTTGAGCCACGATCGCCCGATAACCAATAGGTTAATCTATTGCAATGGTACACAACGTGTGAGGAGGAAACAGTGGGAAGGAAAAACTCCCTTTTAACAGGAAGAAACCTCCGGCAGAACCAGGCTCAGAGAGGGGCGGGGCCATCTGCTGTGATTGGTTGGGGTGAGAGAAGGAAGACAGGATAAAGACATGCTGTGGAAGAGAGACAGAGGTTAATAACAGATATGATTCAATGCAGAGAGGTCTGTTAATACATAGTGAGTGAGAAAGGTGACTGGAAAGGAAAAACTCAATGCATCATGGGAATCCCCCGGCAGCCTACGTCTATTGCAGCATAACTAAGGGAGGATCCAGGGTCACCTGGTCCAGCCCTAACTATATGCTTTAGCAAAAAGGAAAGTTTTAAGCCTAATCTTGAAAGTAGAGATAGTGTCTGTCTCCTGAATCCAAACTGGAAGCTGGTTCCACAGAAGAGGGGCCTGAAAACTGAAGGCTCTGCCTCCCATTCTACTTTTAAATACTCTAGGAACAACAAGTAGGCCTGCAGAGCGAGAGCCAAGTGCTCTAATAGGGTGATATGGTACTACAAGGTCATTAAGATAAGATGGGGCCTGATTATTTAAGACCTTGTATGTGAGGAGCAGGATTTTGAATTCTGGATTTAACAGGAAGCCAAAACAGGAGAAATCTGCTCTCTCTTTCTAGTCCCTGTCAGGACTCTTGCTGCAGCATTTTGGATCAGCTGAAGGCTTTTCAGGGAGGTTTTAGGACTTCCTGATAATAATGACAAACTAATGGAACTTCGTACGCTCATTCAGCAGCAGGTAAAAACTTTCAAGGTCAAAACACAAGAAAAAAAAATTCTCTCAAAATTTAGAGACATCATGAAATCACATCAGGTACGATGAGATGATGAACATGGCGTCCTGACCAACCTCAGTAAGACTCGGGCCAGATTTAATCTTCACATCTGAGCCTTCAGTGATGTGAAACAGTGTGACAACGTGAAGCAGGCCAAAGACCTCAGACACATCCTGCTGTGATGTAAAGAAACACCAGAGTCAGTGACATCATCAGTCTGACTCCAGTGATCCACAGTGGGAGAAAACCCACAGTGGGTGAACCTTCCCAGGAGTGACCGGTCGACCAAAATTACTCTTCAGAGAAGAACCCAGAAGAAGACCTGCAGGCTTCACATGTCTGAGCTAAGGTCAGAGGTCACGATTCAACAATAATAAAGAGACTAAACAAAAATGACATCCATGAGTTTAAGGAGAAACTCACTGATCAGGTCAAAGTGACCAGAAACGACATTTTGTGTTTATTTTTCTTGTTTGATGAAAGTGTGACCAACAGGACGTCTCAGCTCTGATTTAACCTGCCGGCAGGTCCAGCCGCTGCCTGGATGATCTGATTAGAGCGCCGTGCGTCTCTGCTTGAGGCCGCTGATGCTCGGGCCGTGGTTTCAGGCGTTGGGTGGAATAATTAAGGAAACGGCCGTGGGTAACTTACTTAAAGAAAACTTTCCAGAACAGAAACTGACACACAGCAGAGCTTTGAAAGAAACTAAACCAAAGTAACTGCTTTGAAGTCATCAGTTCTCGTGCCTCCTTCACTTCCTGCTTGTGTGAAAGAAGGAGAAAAATAGTCACAGACGTTTCTGGATCCCTGCACCGTGGGAGCAGCTGGTCTTGGTCTTCAGTGGTCTGCTTGTTCTCTGGCGTGGGCGTCTTTCTCCTTGGTTCTCGTGTGTTTCTGAACTTTTCCCCTCAGCTGAGCAGCGAGGAACGTCCTGCGTGGGCGTCACGTTGGGAAACCTCTCTGTGTGAACGCAGCCTGCCAGGTGAGCCGGTTACATAATTCTGCTTCCAGGGCCATCCCGCCCTCCTGCAGGCACCTGTCCTGGATCGGCCTCCGCAGCACAGCCCTGTGGTGATCTCATTAGGGAGTTATTTTCAGTGCTTCTTTGGTTCTTCCTGCAGGACCTAAGAGGGTTACAGAGTCCTGAGGTTCGCTCGGTGCCTGCAGAGTCACGGCAGGCTGGATGTGGGCCACCTCGAGCCTCCGCCTGCAGCCTGATCGTCTTCTGTGGGGTTTCCTGTCCTGAGGAGGATCGCAGGACTGCAGACCGCCTTTAACAAGCAGCGCACCGGGCCTCGGTCTCCTCCGCCATGGGGAACCACGGCTCGACCCTGGACGACATCCTGGCAGAGGACATGCACCACTGGTACAACAAGTTCATGAAGGAGTCTCCGTCAGGCCTCATCACGCTGTTCGAGCTGAAGGCCATACTCAACCTGAAGGGCATGAACGAGGACGCCAACCGCTACGTGGAGCAGGTCTTCTTCACCTTCGACATGGACGGGGTGCGTTCCACGTCAGTTTGCCCAGCCTGTTCTTCCATGTTTCTGCAGGAAAGTAAAAGTAATCTGACAGCAGTGACACGTCGACGGGTTTAGAGCTGATTTGCTTTCCTGCACCTTATTTAGTCTATTTCTGACCAAAACATCTAATAATGACATATAACCTGTTATATCAGGCTGGTAGTATGACAGCTAGTTATGAGGCTTTGATATCAATTTGAGACGAGTGTTACTAAAGTGGGGTTAAAGGTCACATGAAAGCTCAGCTTAAAGAAAGAAAGACTCTACATGGGACGTGCTTTGAAATGAAAACGTCTGATTTATGAGAGAAAACTCGACCTACTGCTTGTAGGGCTGAGCTGAGAGCCCTGCAGCTTGTGAATGAGCCCAATCAATAATCAATAATGCTGACCGGGCTTTCCTTATTGATAAATCTGACTGTGGATACAGGATGTACCAAAACCAGTCATCAGATATCTAAAGGCTATGTTTTTAAAGTAGTGGA